TTTCAATTTAAACATATATTACATACTCCTTTCTAGTTGTTACCCTGACGTTGTGACATTGCATAGTCTACTCAAGAGAGTAAAAAAGAAAAGCCGACTTCAATTTACTGAAAGAATAAAATAGCTTTTAGATATTAGTTTCCGATATCGGGGCTAAATAGGATATTATTACATCTATACATACACTATATTTTAGCGCCGACCTCAAAAGCTATTATGTGGAAATTATTTTATTCTTTTAGTTCCAACATTATCAAGATGATTCGTGCTATATACCACTAGTAACCTAGCGCTCGCCCCACCTTGCGCAGTCACGCACACGTAGAGAACATTGTAGTGTGCGTCAATATTATGCCGTAGAGCGATCGCATAGATTTTGACTTGCGCATATTCGAATATACTCTTAAGCTTTATTGATGTAATGTTTGTTGTCCTGAATAAAATAAAATAAAATTGAAAATGAAATGAAACACCAGCGTATTGTCCAACTTTTTATTCTATTGTGTTCCGTTTGTTTCGAACGCCGAGCGCTCGGCGCACACGCCGCCGACTGTACAACATATAAATATAACAAATACAAATAATTGCAGCAATGTACACAAACAATAATGTTTATAACCTACTAAAGTTACCCAGAGCTTTGCTCCGTGGCAACGCGGTAATAGCGTAGCGAGTGCTTTGGACACTTGTCAATTGAACAAACTAATATTTACATTATGTTCAATTAATTGACCCTTTTTTTAAACGTTTACTGAACAAAACTTAATAACAAGTTTGGTCGTGGAAGGATAATATTGGAAAGATCTTCCTCCAGCCCGGGAAGCACAAACGCTCCAAGTAGTTGTTCGCAGATTATTCTATATATGCAGCGTCGTTCGGACGCTTCGATAGCGTGATTTAGATAGTTCGTTTATATTTGTAACGCGACGACGGCCCCGCCCCACAAAATATCTATATAAATTTTAAGTTGACAGAACACAATTCCTTTTATCACAATTTCTGACAGTATAAGACTCACGCTTAGCCCCGCTCCGCTATGGCCGCGTGCCGCACTACGCACTAGCACCGCCGTCAGTTTTCCATCCATCGGATGCTGATTCCACCTCTCCCCTATCAACACCTAACAACTCCACCCTCCACAAACAACCAGGCAGAAGAAACATTGACACATCTACCTCTTACGAGTTGTATGGCGACAGGTTTTTCAATTAAAATACAATTATGATTGTGAATGAAGAATTTAACAACAATATTGGCGCACTGCAAAACGCGAGGCTAAATGGTCAATTCCGTTAAAAATTAAATAATTAAATACACCAATATATAGAGGATAATAATGTTTATATGATTTTAATAGTAACCAAGAATATAATTATTCGGCAAATGTAAAAACAGTTATTACTTGAAATAAGGGTATGTATACCGGAAAGCATTTGTTTTTATGTTACAGAGTAACAAAAAGAGAAAAATGGCCAGTTTTATTGAAAATATTGTCAAAAGACAAGTAAAAACCAAATTATCATTGAATAAATTATAACATTTAAGAAAAAAAATATAAAGTTTAAAATTAATTTACGATATACAAATAAAACATATAATAGAATAAGCGCAGACCAGCACATTTCGTATTTTGCATTATTCAATTAATGTAAATAACGATGGCAACGTTATAGGGATTGCCCCGCGTTAAACATGGATACAATTCGCTCTCAGACGACAAAAACATCCGACTGTAAAGCAAATAATTCATTAGGATTCTTTATGTGAAGAATTGTAGCTTGTCGGGCTTTGCTCAAACCGGAGCAAGTAGATCAAACGAAAGAGCCAAGTCGCATTCGCGGCAAACATACACGTTCAAAAATTTAAAAAAAATAAAACAACTTATAATAATTTTTGCATTCCCATAGAAGCAATTATTTTACAATAGTGTACTTTATAATATAAGGAGCATAATTTTACAAAACAATTTATCCATGTAAGCCGGGCCGATTGCTAACGAAGAAGAAACTTGTCACAGTTAATTTCATATTTGTTTCAAAAGAAGCAGAAAAACACTTAAATAATGATCTACTCGTAGCGTATTTCTTAAAGAAACAAACTGTTTCGACACAAACATCGGCATGTAAGATTAAATCTCGAACCGCGCTACTACTTCTCGCATGTTAGTTTGAAATTTTTTGAATTAGGTACTAATGAAATTGATTAAGTTTAGTGATTGGATAAAACTATTATTTACGGATTTTATCTAATGTAATAAATAATGTAAATAATAGTTTTATTCAATGTGTAGTGTTCGCGTAAATTTAAGAAATCATTAAATTGAGTGATGTAAGAATAACTGACTATAGTTGAATGTCTGTGTATACAAAAAAGAATTTTCTTATATTTTGAAAGTGTAAACGACAAGTAACGGAGTTACGGTGTTATCAAGTTGCTTTTGATAATCCAAATTTATTAAGTTGTTACGATTACAAGATTGAAGTTAAAAAAAAGTTTTATTATTATTCGTTACAAGCCATTGCTTGACCACATTCCCATTGTGCCCCCCCCCCCCCCCCACCCCCACCTGTGATAATGAAGTCCTATATGGTTAACAATTCACGTGCAGTTTATTTTCGGATCCCACATGAATATAAAGTAACTATTAATTTAGATAAATTCACATGTAATAAAATAGTTAGTGATATTAAAAATTATATTACATGATTTCCGTACTTGTTATCTGACTTACCTATCTGTTAAAAGACGATATTCCCGTTTTAACTGACAAGTTCAAAACAACAAGACAAGTAGTAGTTTAGACGGGAATTCGAACACTGGCGGTTTACTGCTCTTATTTTATTGCATAAATAATAATGGTTGGAAGTAGATTTTGATATGTAAAAGCGGTTCAATTTTTTGTATTGAATATCAGTGCGTGTAAACTGTAAGTGGAAACGATGAAACAAGCGTGTAGCACTGTGGTGTGGTGGTGATGTGAACTTCAAGATATTGTGTCCGCCTGAGATACTGTCGTCATCGACTAATCGTCATCGTTGGCTCAAACTATGCTCAAAATCTCCCAAAACTTCGCGTTAAGTTTTTAAACAAATTATTATAAAGGATAATTTGTTATTACTTTCCACTGGCAACAGTACAACAGTTCGAGTCCATTACAAAGAAAAGAAACTGACAAGTGCTCGCTCGTTAACAATTGCCTCGGCTGATTTGAAAACTTATACACAATACTTCCCGCTTACAGTTGAATCAAAAAGTGTACAACCAACCAAGACTAAACAAAATTAAGAATCTGCGCTTCCGTTTCCAGCCGTCGGCATGATTTGATTTGATCCTTGATGAAGTAAAAGTCGGCTTTAGATACGAAAACACCTCCCGCTATTATTTACAATTGCGCGCCGTCCGCTTTGCGTGTGATAATACTTATCCAATGTATTTATAATTATAATTTAAAATGGAAACCATTTTTACCACGTTTCTTGTCCTGAACTATATTTAAAGTTTCAAATATCTAACTCACTGGGAAGTTAGTTTAAAATCGATGGTTAAATTTGTACTGAAACTATTGCATTGTCATCTAGTTTTAAAATTTCAAACCTCTAGCTAATCGGGAAGTTAGTTTAAAATCAGTTACTAAATTCGTCCCGAATGGCGGTAAATAAAAAGTGGTAAATTAGGTCTTAATGTAGTTTGTACTCATCGAGCCGCATATATCATAATCAAAGCAAGGATCTCATAATCTGTATTTATTGCATACCGCTATTTACATTTGTAGTGACTAAAGTAAATAATGTTATTATTTCTGGATGTTTCTCAGACTCCCCTAATAATTTACACGGTTTATTTTATTTTATGACATTTAAAACGACGGACAGCGGCTAGTTTTGCGGCGACCCCTCGGTTTTATAAACCAGCAGAGTCTTGAGAACCAACACGATGTGGTCGAAGATTTTAATGGCTCAACTTAAGAAAATTTCCTTCAAATCGTAGCATCCAAATGCATGATTCCATTAATTATATTACAAAAATCGTGTAATCTATGTCGTTTGCAACGTGAAGCTAAGGGAATTATTATTTTAGGTCGGATGGTACGACTCAAAGGGGTCATTTACAATAAAGTTTTTATAGTACACGCTGAATAGGGTATTTTACGCATTTTCAAAAATTGTTTTAAATGAATCCTAGGGTGATAATGAACCACTATAATTTTTATATATATTTTTTAAACCGAACAGTGCCAAAAAATTACTTTTAATCTATCGTTTTAAATTTTCACGTGAAAACGTTGCCGCCATTTTGGGCATCTGGTGACGTCAGAGTGGTCGACTCTGCCTATTTTGCAAAGGAGGATTTGAGGAACAGAAAAAAAATATTTTTAATATGAAAATTTAAAATTTATAATGCAATTTTAAAAACAAAAATCAATATTTCTTATTTACTTTTTACAAAATCTATCATAAATATATATTTTTTGATTTGATTTTACATGGTGTAAAATACCCTTGCAGCGTCCACGATATACAGTTTGCATTAGATGCCAATGTGACCGACACTTGCCTTTTTATAAAACTGTCACAGACTGACAGACAGTCTACTCGTGTAGGTGCATAATCGTGTATTTACCATAGTGGACATTTGTGATGATATTTACACGCATGTTAACGTAATAATAAAAATATGTCAAGTTTAACAAAAATATTATTTAATCACTGTATCATTAAATATGCATAATTTTATTCAATTACATTACTCAATACAGCGGTAACAGTTCTATCTGTGGTCAAATGTCGGGTCGATATTCGATGCTCGGGCCAACAAATTTTTGTGCCGAGCTAGAATAGATTTCTAACACTAAAAGAACATCACAGACGTCGAATCCGAAATTAAAAACGTTCGAGTCGAGCTGGGAGCACGACCAAAGATTTACAAAAAAAAAAACAAATATATTTTCATAGTGTAAACTCTATAACAACAAAAATGTTCAACAAGGCGTGTGCGCGATTTTACGAGGCGGCGGGCGGCACGTCGGCGGCCGCAAGCCGCAGCGCCGCGCCCAACGGTGGACCCACGCCCACGTTGCTCATGTTACTCGTGTTAGAGCTAGTTCGTTCCGCTTTTGCTATCCCATCTTCCCCACCACCCTCCGTCTGGTGAACATAGAAAAACAATCATTTTAACAAATATATAACAAGTCAATCGGTAAATGTTTTTAATATGCCACGTTTTTAGTTAAGTTGTTTGAGTAAGTTAGTTTAAAATGAATTGAAATTGAAATTCGACCTGAACAGACATACACAAGAGTGAATTACTATAAACGTGGTAATAAACAAATTGGTCAACTTTGTAAACTTTACCTACAATGTGCATTCAATAAAAATGAAAACGAGTATGTTACAGAAAACTTATATTTATTTTTTTAAAGCTGAAATGACAAACAAATCTAAAGTCCACCGTTCAAGTAGTTCATAGTCAAGTTGGTAAATGGCAACTGGAGTCCATGGACACGTGCAGACAACTGAAAAGATCTTTATTCGCACTAGAACTCTTACTCTCTAACTTACAACAGAACTATATCTATGGTTCTCTGAAAGGTAGCTAGTGCTGTTTATAGTCCGAACGGCAAATGTGTTAACACGTTGTAGTGTCCTAACTGGATAATAAAAGCTGTTTTCTGTCTTTCTTTCTCAGATACTTATATCTGGTAATCGGCACTAGCTAAATCAAGTGAAGTGAATTTACAGCTACGTCGTACGTACGTAGTAATTCAGGAGTTCCTAAACTTTTTCGGGGCGCACATTTGTCTCGGCGCCCATCTAGTCGAAATAGAGTACTTACCTACAACGATACTAGGTAGATGGGCACAAAAATTTACAACGTCTATAATATAAAGAAAAGTGAAATAGAATAACAATTCTTAGGAGCTTTTGAACTTAAAGTTGGATATTTATTTTGGACCCGTTTCCGAGCGGAAGTACTTATCTGCGAATGAGTGATGTACGCAGCGCGCGCGATTTTTATTGTTTATGATTTACCTGCGAATGCCTAAGTTTAGTTTCCGGATAGAGGTAAACAGGATTGCCTTACGGCACTCATTTTTGCTCTCTAAGGCGCACCAAGGCGCTGCGGCGCATGCTTTGGGAACTCATGTCTTAATTTGCAAACAAGTCGGTTATGTTATTAGGCAAGGGGGATTTGTCGTCCATTGTAATTTTGTTGAATCGCCTATAATCAATAACTTGTCTGTATTGCTTTTCGTTATTTGCATCGGCTTATTCCGAACTAAATGCTGGTGCATTCAAGGGTGACAAGGATTGTCTGTGTCATTTTTGAGCATTTTTTTAACCTGTTTAAAAGCTAAGGCATATTGGGCTTGCCGCGAAACAAACTGTCACGCAAATTATACAATTACACTATACTAATTTTAAAGTCTTTCTGGTCTACCGTAAGGCCCGTAAGTGCGACAGAGAGCGCAAAGCGTAACATGCAGCGTCTTTTTTCCCCTTTATTGCACCGCAGGCAGCAAGTCTTTAACATTACTATAGCTACAGTCACTAATAGGTCGCTATCTCAATGTCCCTAGCAAAGGAAAATAAAATGTTGCCATATGCATCAGTAAGTCTTTAACATTACTATAGCTACAGTCACTAATAGGTCGCTATCTCAATGTCCCTAGCAAAGGAAAATAAAATGTTGCCATATGCATCAGTAAGTCTTTAACATTACTATAGCTACAGTCACTAATAGGTCGCTATCTCAATGTCCCTAGCAAAGGAAAATAAAATGTTGCCATATGCACAAACATTATTTATTAAAATCGATAAAACGTTATCGTTTATATAATATAAAGGACATATAGGACAGTAGGTGCCATTTCTTCGTAAATTACCTCATTTATTGTAATGAGGTGTTGCATTGTTTATTTATTTAATTGTTTAATATTTGTGACTATGCATAAGGTCAAATTAAAATGGACTTTATTGCGAGTTCAAAATATGAATCTTGAAATTACGTTGGAGTTAAAATGATGTTATTTGATTAGGCTTAAGAGCTGGACGTGCACTGACTTAAATCAACTAAAACTTTTTAACTACGAAAACTTTTAAGTAAGAAAAAAGAAGAGTCGTGTACTTTATAGGGTAATAATGCTTAATAATCGATATTCCTATTAGAGTTGGCTATATATCTGAACGCACATTAGTCAGCCCCGTACGCACCGCATTTACTGATGGTCTCGCACACTGGCATTTACGCGCCGTACGCAATTCTTTTGTATTGGCAACAACTTTTGCAGTTTTTTCCAACCACCTGGGTGAAACGGTACAGTGACATTGAGAGCTCAAAATCGCTCGGATCGTTTTGGGAAAAAAATGTTGTAACAGCTTGGTTATTAGCAAGAGGAAGAAAAAAATGCAATTCGAAGAAAAAGAAGATTCCGAAAAATAACGACACATCTTCTATATCTATAACGTATGCGTTTTTTATAACCCATGTGTTTGTATAACGCATGCGTATGTAAGTTAACGGGGCTGATTGTGCATGTGTGAGGAGTGGGCGGACACTCACGTCAGCGAGCGCGTGCTTGAAGGTCTCGTAGGTGAGCCAGCAGATGGCGGCGGCCGGCATCTGGTAGAGCACACGCGCCTGCAGGCCGCGGAAAAAGCCGCGCGCGCCGGCGGCCCGCAGCACGAGCGCTGCCGCCTGCGCGAGCCCGTCGGCGCTGGCCTCCTGCGTGTTGAGCGCCGTCTTGCAGACGTCGAGCGGCGTGGTGGCGGCGGCGGCCAGAGCGCCCGCGCACGCGCCGGCGCACAGGTGCGCGCCCGGCTCGTAGGCGCGCGCCGGGTTCAGCCGCGACTGGCACCACTCGTACGTCACGAAGTGCACCGCCTGCGAACGCACCCCCACCCGCTGCTGTACTCCATACTACCCACTACGGCTCCACATTTTAGCCGTTTAAGCCAGTTAAAATGTTACCTAACTTACTTAACTAAGTAGCTAACCGATCAGCTTAGCTAAATTAACCGGTTACCTAAATTAACTTAGCTAATTAGCTAACGGCTTACCGGCTACACGACTAATTTTTTTAAAACTATTTAATGTTTTTTTTTCACGAACAGATTCTGATAAATTATTGCATAAATTATTATATATTTCTCTGCCGAGTGATATTCAGTCATTTCTTTTGTATCCAAAGTTACCTTAAAGCTTATCTTTTTTATATTGTACTCAATTGGACAACATTTACATCTAGCAATATCACTTGTAACTAATGTAGTGATAGTGATTTCATAGTGATGACATTTTTAAATATTCAATTGAGTCTCTGAATAATATATACATATATGTTGTTGTTTCAGATATACGAGAATTATAAAACTTAGAAGATTAAAAAGCGCGAGTTAAATTACCCGCGCTTTTTAATCATGTATTCAAACCGCTTTTTCGTTAACAATTTAATGATTATTTAATAGATTATTATTTATTTACATATAATTTATTTTATGAAAGCTGTTATTGATATAAACACATTATAATAAGATTTTTATATACTATTATATAATAGTAATTATTACTGCCGTTTCTTTCTTTATAATAAAAATTAAACATTAATATTATTTTGTAATGTCCGTGAATAAAACATCATTAAATAGCTTAAAGAAAACTCAGCCGGTTAGCCGTTAGTAAATAGTTGAGCTAAGCTAGATTAACCGGTTAAACCGCCAACTAATTAACGGCTAATTTAGTTACTTTAGTTAATCGGTTAAATCAGCGAAGTTGATCGGTTAGTTAGCTAATTAACTTTTAAGCCGGCTTAACCGGTATTGTACAGTATAAATACCGAACAGCAATCCAAATTCCTCATCCACTGTTATTCTATGTTACTGCTGCTAACACGATTTGGATATAAAGAAACGAGGCTGTATGACTTAAAACAGTTACCTATTGCTCAGCTCTGAGCAGAACCTCTTGCTGTAAACCAGCGCTCTCTAATCTCGCATCATTATCCAAAGGAATCTCAATCCCACTCTTGGCCTAAAACTTATACCGTGTAATGGCGGTTAAGAATATCAAATACCCCGTGGGTGTCGTAAGAAGCGACAAAGGGCAACAGGCAGGAGATAGGCTGCAGCATCTTTCTGATAAGAGCAATTGTACATTAAAAAACGGCGGTTGCGGTGCCGCTCGCCAAGCATGACAACTATGGCAAACATGAGAGTTACGAAGAGACGGCCCCAAGTCCCCGGCAGCCTCGCTATTTCTGGCTACAGTGGCAACCATGGTTACGGCTGGGGATGGGGTGCTAAGAATCTCCGGTAGAGGTTCGGTTGCCACCTATAACGACTCGATCTGGCAACATGCAACTATGTTTGCTTATTATGGTTACGTCGCGTCTTATATCAATAATAATCTGGTTCTGTGGGGCAACAGTACCGACGTAAACAGAGTTCTCATCGCACAAAAAAATGTATACAGGCTATAAGCGGTAAAGGTCCATTTGAAACATGCAAGCCTCTATTCATTTAGCTGGGTATATTAACAGTTCCGGGCATGTACATATTTAAAATATATAATAAAGTCAACGTACGGAATTATTTATGTCAGTCTGTGTGATATATGTATACAAATATAAGTATATGTATATACAAATCACTAAATAATGATAGGCTTACTGCATGTGTGTAAAATATTTGACCAAAAAGTTACGTGTATGTCTCGATTGCGTCAGACATACAATACGCAGACCGAAGACGCTGCTGTAGTCAAGGGTGGCGAGCATAGTGCATCCTCCATAAGAGAGGAATGAAGAGGGATAAGAATATAAACATTACTAGAACGAGGACTGACCTGAAAGGGTACGTTCATGGTGACCTGTGTGCCGTAGGAGCGGTAGAAGGCGCGCAGGCCCTCGGCGCGGTACACGCGGCGCGCGCAGTCCCACACGCTGCGGTACGGCGAGTGCAGCATCTGCAGCCGCTGCTTCACCACTGGCGATCACAAGCCGATACATGTATCTAACTACTACTAAAGTTTAAAATGTCTAAAATATATTAAACATTACAGCACTGAGACATCATCTGGATGTTTGGCGGTTTACTGCTGTGGCAATTTACTAAGAGCTTTTGTCCTCGCTCGAATACTTTTTTGAATCGTTTACCACTGGCGATTTTCTGGACCTATATGACGTAGGGACCTACAAAAATGAGCTTACTTATTTTTAAAAGGCCGACAACGCACCTGCAATTATCTTGTTGCAGCTGTTAATAGGTAGCGGTTGACACTTACCATAAGGTAAGCCACATGCTCGTTTGCCACCTCTGCCATATAAAAAATAACGATTTCTACTTAGTATTGGTTGGACATCTTTTGTGCTTAGAAGTCTGTCAGGGCAGGTATAGCTCTTGCATATCACGGAGTCGAACGGCATTACTGGCGGTTGCGTCTGTGTCTAACGGAGCGACCAGTTTTCAGCAGCAGCAGAGACATGTTTACCACGGAGTAAAACCCGCTCAACTTGGTGAATTGAAAGAACTATACCTTCCTCATATACACATTTCTCAGTACGTACACTGTGTCCCTGTCTGAAATGTATAATAAACAGCTGGTATGACAGATTGAGACGCATTCCATCTGTCTTCCGGGGTTGACAAGGCATCCACCATTTGATTCTTAATCCACACCTCATGGTAAGGTGGATGGTGTGCTTATTTATCACCCCAATTCTATAAAAATAACAAATCAAATCCCTAACATCCTTACGTTAAGAAGTTATTTACAGTTAGATAATTGAAAGAAATTTGGCCATGCAGTAGCGGCCCGATAATCCATCCCTCAATCTACTCCCATGTATTTTGAATGTGACCGGTATAATAACCGTAATAAATTTTTATATATATATATATATATATATATATATATATATATATATATATATATATATATATATATATATATATATATATATAGCGTGGTCCAAACAGTGAGGTTATAAAAATTTTTTTGATTCCTCACACCTGGGGGTATCCGAAAATACCCTATGTATGTTCCGCGATTTTTTGTAGTTTTCGAGTTATGATTAATTTATGCTTTTTTTTTGAAAATGTTCACCCTAAACAGCCTAACATTAAAAAAAAATGTAATTGTGAGATTTTTTTCCAAGTTTTTTTGTTTGTAGCATGATCCTTATGAGTTGCCCCATTATGCATAAAATAATTAGCTTACCAACATTCACCGAAGATACAATAATTTTAATCGAAACTTAAAAATTTTCTGTCAGGAGAGTGAGGCTTAAATTTTCAACATTAAATTAAAAATAGTAATAAATGATATCATACTTTCTAATTAATTTTAAAAACTTGCCAGTACCTTAATCTTTCATAATAACATTAAAAAAATGACACGTAATAGGCCAGTTTTTCTGCTACAGACTTCTGAAGTTACTCAGGCAGGAAACTACCTGAATAGTTAATTTGATTTAAAAAATCTTTTTTATCATTTCTAGGGCTGTTTAGGGTGAACATTTTCAAAAAAAAGGATAAAAAAAATCATAACTCGAAAACTACAAAAAATCGCGGAACATACATAGGGTATTTTCGGATACCCCCAGGTGTGAGGAATCAAAAAAAAATTTATAACCTCACTGTTTCGACCATCCTGTATATATATAAATTTTATTTTTGGTAAGAATAGCTAACCCCAAAAATGCAGATGCGTTGTCACCCGTGAGGACTTAAATGGAATGCCTCGTTTCCAGTAAAAAGGGTCTCCGGTTCTCTACACTCACCATACGAAACACAGCAATATTGACCTGTTATTTTACGCTGATATTCTGTGAGAGCGTGGTCCTTCCTCGGTCCCATTCGTGCTACAACTATACTACTAATACAACGGCAGCACGGCTCTATCACGCAATAAGCCCAGGTCAACGCCGGGCAGCAGTGACTATGTCAGGAAAATCATCCGGCTTATAGTGAACTTGTACGAGTATACTTTTAAATTTTTAATTACCGTGCCGAGATTTGGTACTATCCTCAGTCTCCAACTTGTGTAAGACCAATGTTAAAAGGAATAATATGTAAAAGAACATGTAAAGAACTATAAAACTACCTTAATCGAACTAAAGAAATCAACAAATCATTTGTAAAGGATGAATTGGGTTAATATTATTATTGCCTACTCGAAGTGTAGTGTGTTGACTACAAATAACATTTTATGCATTTTATCGACACATATCAAGTAGTGCCTGAGTGGAGGCCGTGACAATAGATGAGTCAGCAATGGATTTCTAATTTCAATCATCAGCATAATATACGATAGAAACTAACATTGTGTCGTAATGATACAAGTAGTAATGAAAGGCGATAGAAAGAACAGTTGCCTCTCTAATTATTTATTCAATCGTAAGGCCATTATTTTACGTTATTATAAGTACTTCGAACATTGAAGCCGAGGGAGAAAGGTAAGTACTTCATAAATTGATTGCATGTGTTCATTCAATATATGCTATCAAAATTCCCTTGCTGCACGTAAGCCACGCACAAAGATTGCCTCGTACAGCGATGGTAACCGGTTTTTTGAATCATTTTGAGTTACTATCGGCAAGATGCTGTTGCCCATCTCCTGTTTTATTTTTCTCAGTCGCCTCTTACGACACTTGTGCAACGATATGGGGTGGGTGATATCCTGCAACATGCAGAGGTAATCAATAGACGACCGAAATAGTTTATACTAAATAGAGCTGAGAGCCCTCCAATCAATCGAGGAGGCGACAGGGGACACTAAAACAGAATATGGGCAACAACATCTTCTTGATGACAGCTCAAAATAATTTAAAACTGCGCTTGCCGACCCGCCAGCAAAGCGTGCCATCTATTGCAAAAGCCAGCCTTATAGGCAAACTATGAGAGAGTCCTATATTTAGCGGTGGACTTTTATAGCCTGTAATGGTGATGGTGATTGCAAGATCTCATCCATTCCATATGTATTTATCTTGACTCGTATGAATGCCAAATCAATTATAACAGTTTTTCGCTTACGACCCTAATCTATTAACCTATATACGAAGTAGAATATTATTATCGGTTCGTAGGGACGCCCCCCCTCCCCCCCGGGACATCACTTATTAATTGAGTCACCGGCGTTGTTTAGACTCAACACTCGCGGTTTCCTTGTAAGGAGATAACCGTTGCAAACAATGTGACCGGGAAACAATACGCTCTCCCTTGCACGTGTTTTCAAACATGGACTTCCGACTCCTGTTTATCTTTCGCCGTTTGAGACATGTAGTAAGAGGCGTAGTGAAGCCCATTAAGCCCACTAATGCAATGTGGCGGCCACTCACACACGGAAATGTAACGGACGTATAAAATTTGTAACTTTATTTCTTGTTGTTTAATACTTTAGGTACCTACTACATGTAAAATAACACAAGTTAAGATATAAAAATATACTTTAATGACTGCAAGAACTAACTATGGCAAAAAATGTTATTGTTTGAAGGAGCGCAGCAGATAACCAAATGACATAAAAACTGCAATAACATGAATGTGTACAACAGTTTAGGAAATACGCACGTACTTTGGTAATGTGTATAATACATACCTAATCTATGAATATATAGTTTTCCGGGATTCGAACCCGGGACCTCAAGATGAGCAGGCGCACTACCACAATCACCGGAGAAGTTCCACGCTTTCACAAAATACCAGCGTCAGACAACAAAATCTCACCAATTGATGTTTTAGAATAAATACCTAACAGGTTCCAAAACATTTTTGTACGCGGTAGCGCCATGATACAGCTATAGCACAAATAAGTCGGCTCGACCGGGGTAAAATTTGGACTCACAAAATATACCGCGTTTTACGGACGCGTAAAACAACAGATTTATACTGCTGTGTTTCGTATGGTGAGTGTAGAGAAACGGAGAACTTTATTACCGGAAACGAGACATTCCATTTTAGTCCTCAGGGATGACAACGTATCTGCATTTTGAATCTCAATGCGGATAAATGTCTGTGGGCCGCAACATTCACTTACCATCTTGTGGAATTTGCGCTCTTTTGTCACCACTATTTTATAAAAAAATGTGTTCAAAAGTAAACTTAGTACAGTGTACAGTGTAATATTTTTATTTCATGGTAATATGCGTAGTAAATAATCTGTGACTACATCGTTTCCAGCACTCTAGAGGCAAATGTTATATTCTAACGTAATTACTTTGTATCTCTTAAATTAATAACTAATGCAGGTACTTATGAGAAATATTTTCGTTCCACATCTGGGCACAGGCTTTCTCTCATTTCAGTGCGTGCGTATCGTAATAGGTCGGGGAAAAGTTTCTTCGTATTTTGTTTGTATAAAATTGAAGAAAAATCTCTTTGGTTGTACTGTTTGTATCTGGTTGGTTTTAATATCAATACATATAAGACATTAAGAAAATTAAAATTAAAAAGTAAAAAACACTTTCCCGCCATTTTCATTTTATCTCTGTCCGCCAAAATAAGCGAATCTAACGAAAAAATTCGTTTAATACTGAAGAACGATTACAAAAAAGGAAAAAATGCGGCTCAAGCCGCGAAAAAATATTGTGACGTTTATGGACCTAATGAAGTGTCAGTAAGAATAGCACAAAGTCGGTTCCTGAGTTTTCAGTCTTGGAATTTTGATGTCAAAGACGCAGTTCGCTCTGGTCGCCCTGATATGGATAAAATTGATGCCATTTTTGAAAAAGTGAAGCAAGATCGGCATATTAGTAGTTACAACATAGCTGAGGAATTGAGGATTGACCACAAAACCGACCGACCGATTTGAAAAGTGGCCATACAAAAAAGCTCGATATTTGGATACCACACGAGCTCACTGAAAGAAACCTAATGAATCGTGTACTCATTTGCGATTCTCTATTGAAACGTAATGAAAACGAACGGTTTTTGAAATGATTAGGTACTGGTGATAAAAAATGGATCACCTACGACAAGAATATATG